GTTTGGAGGTGGAGATCCTGAAAGTTTTCATCAAATGTAAAACTAAAATGTTTTTGTACAATAATTATCGCGCTCTACTCCAACTGTGAAGGAGTAAAAATAAAATGTATATTTATGCTGTTTCGCTGCCAGTCTGGATGCTGTGTGTCGAGGATTCCACGGGTCCCTCATCCCCTTCATGTTGACCCTTCCACTGGGATTACTGGTGTAGTAACATCCACCAGCGCCCTGTTTTCATCTCTTGCCCACCGATGCCGTCTTGTTCCAGTAGCCCACTCCTCATCAGGGCGTCCTGGTTCCTCAATACCTGACACAGACGTCGGGCAACGTCTGAGCTGGTATGGCTTCATATTTATGTCTCTCACTGATGTCCGAGGTGGGCTTGGTTAGCATGGAGGGTCTAGCCTACTGGGAGTCAAACCTACGAAGGTGTGTAGACCAAGAAAGGACTCGGTCTGAATAGTCTGTGTGTGAGTGTCCTGAGTGATGAGGGTTACTGAGACCATGGCTCAGATTGGTGAGGTGCGTGGGCAGGGGTGAGATGTTGTTAACAGTCCATCTGGCAATAGCCTCCAGGTGTGGGAGAGGGCAGCCAGTGATGTTCAGAGTGGAGTTAATGACCCTCTGTGCAGCCTTATCTTCTCAGCCATGTCCAAAGTACCAAACACCAGGCAGGTGTTGTCACTGCTGATTTCAAAGGGTCTGATCAGTTTACAGGAGGACACCTGCCCATCATTGCTGTTTGTAGTTTTTAATGGACTACATGTTCCATGAGCTCCTCAGCTGGTGGTGAGATTTTCCTTTAAAAAGCTCAGGAGGACGACATGACCATGTGGGGAGGAGGCGGACGGACATTTCTGAGCTCGAGTCTCTCAGGATGTCTGCTGACGACTCAGCCGGAAGCAATCTGGTGTCGGTGGACTTTGAAATCTTCGGTCATGTCCAGGGTCTGTATGTTTAACTCCCTTTTCTTCCTCTGCTTCTTAGACCTGTTGGCCTCTGAGAGCCTGTAAAACGATCCACTGCTGCTTAATTTAGGAACAAGCTGGGCGGGCCTCACTTTCACTTCTTAGAGCCT